GCTGACTGACTGTGGATTCACCGCTATCCTACCGACGTTGTACTGCTGTTGCACTGCGGTTTAGTCCACCACTTGCCTCACCACTTGACCACTTGGCCACTTGCCTACCTTCTAGAAGGTCTACAGCTAAGCTTCCGGAACTCACTAAGACTCCTATGCTATAGACCTACAGATCAAACCCCTGCTGCCTATGGACTTACGACAGGCCTACCAGCTGCCTACGAATACACAGGTCACAGGTTCAATTCTCGGGGTCTACACAGATACTGTACATGGGTAGAGTGAGGTCTAGGGATCGAGCCCTGGGTACTGCATCCGCTACTGCTAAAAGGTGAAAACCGTTTCACTCCCGCCGTCCTAAATTCGAGGTCCTCCGAGAAAATTTCAGTCCGAGGCGGGACCTTTACCTTTCTTGTCACGCTCATAGGCTCTGACTATGTCGGGAGCAGTCTCTAGAAGTTCTGCTTTCGTGAACCAGCGGTCGTCTTCCGGTTCCTTTACCTTTCTTGTCACGCTCATAGGCTCTGACTATGTCGGGAGCAGTCTCTAGAAGTTCTGCTTTCGTGAACCAGCGGTCGTCTTCCGGGTCCTGATAGGCAAACCGGACTTTATACTGTTTCTGGGGACGACCTCTACCCCCTGTCCTAAACACGTCCTCTTCTACAATGCCGTCTATGTCATAGCTCCCATCCATATCCGGTGGGATCATGGATCTCCTGGAAGGGAACTGTTGACTAGTGACACACGGCAGCAACTTTGAAACATGGAACACAGGGTATGTGTGGAGGTGTGCTGGAATCTCAATGCTGTAGGACGGTCCATCCTCTCCGCCCTTGACTTCTAGAACCGGCCACGGTCCTCTATATGCAGGCAGTAACTTCTGCGAGATCTTTTCTTCCGGTGCAAACTCTTTTGCTTTGACCCAGACTAAGTCGCCTACTTGAAACTGCGATGGGCGTCGGTGCTTGTTAGCCTGTTCTATCATTCTGTGCTGGGCCTTCCGAACGTTCTCAACAACATTGGCTAACTCCTTTTTGTGCTGTATCGCAAACTCCCTGGTACCGGGCGGTAATCTATGAATCTGATCCCGGTTCAGTCCTTCGAACGGTCTGCGCGGTCTAAAGGACTTGTGCAACTCATTGGGAGTGCGGCAGGTGGATAGATGCACGCTGTTGTTGTATCCACTAGCGACCTTGGGGAACATCTCATCCCAGTTGATCTGATCTGGTCTGATATACATGCGCAGAACTTGCTGTAGGATCTTGTTCATCTGTTTTGTCTGACCGTTAGTCTCTGGGTGACGGCCGGACGACATTAACAACTTAGATCCGTAGACTCTCATGAGTTCTTGCCAGTTCTGGCTGGTGAAACGACTATCTCTATCACTAACTATTGACAATGGGATTCCATTCTCACTAACCCAAAAGTCAAAGAACTTCTGTATTACTAAATTTGTACGTGCCTCTGCAGGCAAAGGAACAAAAACTGTATATTTACTAAAACGGTCGACTATGACCATGACTTGGCTCTTACCATGTCTGCTCTTGACTTGCGTGTCCATGAAGTCTATGGACACTAAGTCTCCCGGCTGATCCAGAATATGCAAGGGTCTGAGAAGACCTAGGGGCGCGCGTGTAGTAGATTTGTTTTGCTGGCATACTTTACAACTGCGGACATACTCTATGCAGTCGTTCTTCATCCCTGGCCATGTGTACGCACGCATCAGATTGGCTAACGTCTTTTGCCAACTGAAGTGTCCCTCAGTATCGTGACATTCCCCTAGAATCAGGCTGCGAATCTCTTCGCTGTTGGGAACGCATAGGCGGTCAAGCACATTAGTCTTTTCAAACAGCAACCTGTCTGTAGTGCGGTAATCTGGTTTGGTCTCTGGGGCCTCTCTAACTCTCTTTAGGAGGTCGCTATAGATAGGGTCCTGCGTATACGCTTGTTTCACTTTCTCCTGCAGGTCTCTCCCTATATCCAGATAATGTACTACGGCTCCAAAGTAGTCTGATCTCCTTCTTAGAGYAKCCGCCACTACATTGTACTTGCCCTTCRCTGGCTTGAGCTCAAAGTCGAATTGGTCTATCTCTGCGGCCCACCTAGTCAACTTAGGTGTCATCTTGGCCTGGGTCTTTAGCCAACRAAGTGTCTCATGGTYARAATACACTYTGAAGTGCCTCCYAAGCAGATAGTGCTTCCAATGGTCTAAAGCCTGCCTGAGAGCGTAGAGTTCTCTCTCGTACGTGGAGGTAGCGACCTTCTCACACGGCATCCTCGCTGACATGAGCTCTACGGGTCTATAGCCATTGTCGTCGTCTTGCTGCAACACGGCGCCTATCCCATACTGACTTGCGTCCGTGGTAACGACAAATGGCAAGGACGGATCCGATACTTTGAGGACAGGATATTCTATTAACGCGCGCTTTAACTTTTTTAGCGCAGACGTACAGTCTTTATCCCATTGCCAGATTGTCTCTTTCTTCAACAACCTGCGCAAGGGAGCGGCGATAGTGGAAAAGTTCCTCACGAACTTCCTGTAGTAGTTAGCTAGGCCCAGGAACGACCGCAACTCTGTCAATGTGCGGGGCGTCGGCCAATCTTTGATCGCCGCAATCTTGTTGTCCTCTGGCTTAATGCCATCTCTGTCCAACACGTGGCCCAAGTACAAGACTTGCGTCTTGGCCCACTTGCACTTCTTCACATTGATCTTGAAGTTAGCCTCTCTAAGCTTCTCCAAGACCTGCCTCAGATGACCCTGGTGCTCCTGGAGGGTCTTACTAAAGACTAGGATATCATCTAAGTAGACTACCACAAATTTATCTAACCACGGTCTAAACAGGTCATTCATACAACGATGAAAAGTGGCTGGCGCGTTGGTTAGTCCAAAGGGCATCACTATAAACTCATAATGCCCATATCTAGTCCGGAATGCAGTCTTATACTGATCATCAGGATGGACTTCTATCTGATGGTATCCAGACTTTAAGTCTATCTTAGAGAAATACTTACAACCCTGCACTCGATCTAAAAGATCGTCTATTCTGGGCTGCGGCTCAGCATTCTTCACTGTGATCTCGTTCAAACTCCTATGGTCTATACACATACGAAGCTCTCCTTCCTTCTTGGGGACAAACAAAACTGGCGCTCCAATACCACCTGCACGTGAAGTGCCTGGGAAGTCCCTATGAACTACCTGCAGCCTGCAGGGGGGGGCAGTCTTATATAGTGCTGGCCCGTCCAGAAGGCTGCTTTTGCTAATGCCAAAACATGCCAGACCCTAGCGTTGAAGTTCAAACAAAGGTTGTCTTCAAAACAGGCCCAAAATGGCCTGTGCCAAAACCCTGGTCTGGTGCCTAAGTTTCAGGGCAGGTCGACTTTATGAGGGCCTGAAAATGGCCCTCGTTTTCAGGCTTTTAGGCTGAAACGACACAGGGCCTGTAGGCCCTCGTTTTCAGGCTTTTAGGCTGAAACGATACAAGGCCTGTAGGCCCTCGTTTTCAGGCTTTTAGGCTGAAACGACACAGGGACTGTGGGCCCTTGTTTTCAGGCTTTTAGGCTGAAACGACACAGGGCCTGTAAGGCCCTGAATTTCCATATGGTCGGGCCCTGCAGGCCCATGTGGCAGCGCAGTATGCCACACTGCTGGTGAAGTGGCACTGTTCTGCTGATGACGTGGCACAGCTGTCGGCTGACGTGTCGCTGACGTGTCACTGCTGACATGGCCTGTTGACGTGGCCTGCTGACATAGCAACTTACCAATGCCGCTGCAGGAGGAACCAGGAGACAGATGGAGAAGAGGAGAAGAAGGATGCAGCAGCATAGATAGTGTGGGTTGGAGTGATCGCCGAGATAAGGAGCCACTAATCAAAAGGAAAAGTTCGAACTTTGCACAAAATAATTTCGAGAAAAAATAATTAAAAAGAACATTCGAAATTGCAAGTTCGGTAGGTCTCCCGATCCCTAGAAATCCATAATAGTCATAAAATTTTAAATTTCGAATTTCAGACTGCAAACGATTAATGAAACGGTTTTCACCTTCGAGGTAGCAGATGCAGATCCCAGGGCTCAATCCCTAGACCTGCCCCGAACCCGTGTACAGTACAGTTTGCCCCATCTAGGTTTGAAACAGTGACCTGCCCCTAAAGTCGTCTGCTTTAGGCTGTTGTACATACGAGGGTTGAGTAGGTTCCAGCTGCTTACCTGTAGGGTAGGAGTCGTAGCTTGTCTGGTCATAGCTGCTGTAGGTCTGAAGGGTCAACCTTAGTAATAGCTGCTACAGTACCGAAAGGGCAAGTAGGAAGGTCTAGAGTCTTCTAGGACTGCCCCTTCGAGAGTCTTGGAAGCAGTCCATAGGCAAGTGGGCAAGTGGGCAAGTGGGCAAGTGGACAAGTGGGCAGACTTACCAAATCCAGTCAGTGGTACCCAGTCCCAGTCTCACCTTGTCCAGTCAGCAAGTACCATGTGGGACTGTGTGCACCCTGGGCCCGGTGGAAAGGAGCAGACCAGTGACCAACCGAAGTATAAATCAAGAGGCAGCGTCCAGTTATTCATTCATTCAGACTGCGAGCCGTGCGGAAGCGCTGCCTGAGCGACTTGTGCAAGGAGGTCTGCAGGTGCCCGAGGAAGAAGTGGGCTGAGAGGGAGACGAAGCGGCCATAGCCGCTAGGTAGTGGTAGAGTTAGCCAGCAGCCATAGCTGCGCTACGTTAAAGATAGGCTACAGCGTGTTTGTGTATGAGTGTGCAGTGAGTTGTGTGTGTGGGGGGGACATCCAGGGAGATCCAGAGTAGCGTGCGTGTGAACAGTTGCTGACGATACAGTGTGGAAGGGTGTTGTGAGGGCGCACAGGCACCATAGCCATTTGAATCAAGTTGAATCTGAACTGTGTTCTTGGCCACGATATCTCTGAGCTTTGTGTGGGTGCTCATCGCAAGGGTGATTGCCATCTGTTTTCATGCATGCTGAGTAAGAAAGAAGACGAGTCTGATTGCATTGGTATCAGAGCTGGTTCCTGCTGTTCCACCTGCCATCGTCATCATCAAGAGGAAGAAGGAGCCGCCATAGCTGCGCCGCTGCAGGAAGACGCCGTTTACCTGCATAGACAACGACGAAGACGAAGAAGAAGAGAGAAAGAGAGAGAGAGAGAGA